AACACAGTTCCTTCCCTCTGTGAGATCACACACTTGCAGTTATATTAACGTTCTCAATAAATGTGGCAGTTCCATTGAAAATTTCGAGTACTGTTTGTCGCTAGTCACTTTTATCTTCCTGATTAACTGGCTTCACTTCAAAAAAGGAAATAGTGCTACTTTCAACCATTGTAACTGCATGGTTCAGATAGGCTTTTTCTTTGGGAAAGAGAAACCACAGATAAAAATCCTTCCCCAGTAAAGTCCTGCAAACTATAATAATTTTGAAATTAAATAATGCTAGGCTTTTGAAAGTGACTTCTTCCATTTACCCTCGTACAGGCCCTTTTATAGTCTGGCACCTTTGGATTAATGTATCTGAACATTTTCTAATGAGCTATTAAGCTGTCTGTAATATTAATATTTTTGCTGTGTAGGAGCTCTACACATGATCCAAAACATTGTGTTCGGTTCTGTACAAATAGAAAAGTGTCATGTAGTCTTCCAAAGGTATCTGTTGCTAACATTCAGTTGGAGAAAATGAGGTGAAAAGGAGAGAACACTGCAGTAACTGAGGCCGTAGGGTGAAAATGCAACCTGTTGTTTCACTGGGTAGTTAGTAACAGCAGCCCCTCTGCAAGTGGAAAGTTTCACTATTTAGGTATCTGTTTCTAAATTGTATTATCTGTCAGAAATTCCTTATACAAACACAGAATGGATATAGTGGGCTTTTTTCTGTTAGTGGAACAACACTTTATCCAATTTATATGAAAATAAAGCACTTTTCTGCCCATATTCAGAAGAAAACAGTTTTGCTAATGCTCTAGTATCTTTTTACTGTTTCTACATGCTCTGTGCTGTTAACAACTGCAAAATAACCTTGTACCATAGATGTGGTTAGAATACTGTATTGCAATGACTATCAAAGCAATGGACTAAACAAATATAGGTAGTTTTCCAAGAAAAGTCTTAATACTTTCCTTAGTCTCTGTGCTCTAGGTTGTTTTTTTACTTCCTTTGCTGTGCTGTCAGAAATCCCATCTTCTGATTTCCCTCAGGTAACTGGAGATCTTAGTTCTTTGGTTTTGATACTACTGCAGTGTTTTACAAGTTGGAATTTTGCAGTTATGAAGACTTTAAACTTTTTTTTGAAGTTTGATTCACTTCAGTAAGTTCAGGTGGTGTCTGAGTAAGAATATATCCATAGCGGCATTCATCTTTGGATGCAAAGTGTGTATTTTTTTTCTGATGTTCTTTTCAATTTGGTACATCTCTTGTTTTTGGCTATAAGGTGTATCCTCCTCATACAGCCACCGTTGCTCTAAAAGCACGGGTAAGGCATTTTCCTTCACCTAGAGTTGTCATTGTTACACTAATTCATGAGCATAGCTCTACAGAGCTCCCCATTAATGCAGATGGCTGAATTTTTTTTAATCTATAGTACTTGTCTGCATGTATTTCTGACACTTACTGTAAACTTACTGGATGCTGTGGTACAGCTCTCATTCCCTGGGTATTATTACATTGGTTATGTTGTCTGCCAGCTCATATTCAGAAGCCATACTGTGCAATAAAATGTTGAAAGCCCTTTCTGAAGGGAATATCCTAGTAATTCAGGCATAGATGCACTTAAGTGGGCACACATCCCTTCCTAATGGCCATGCCTACTGCCAAAGTCTTGGTGGAACAGGCCTATGGGTGTTTGCGTTGGCTACGTACATTATGTACAAGAGGTATGCAAGTTGAGGCAAGTGCTAGAAATAGGACACACTTTTAGCAGGGAGGTATAAATAACAGTATGAAGAGACCTCGTAGCTTCTCTAGTCTGGGAAGTGTAGAACTATAAGCGTGGTAATATTTCAACCATGAGATAAGAGTACTGGAGGTATGTCCTGGTTGTGTTCAGAGACCTGTATTATGACAAAAGTCAAGTCAGATGATTGCAGTTGTCCTTCCCAGCTTGTTTTGGAGCTTTACTGTTTATGAAATTCAGATCTCAGCACCACTATTTTTGCAAAACAGTTTTAAAAAGCTGTTAGTAACCAGGAAACAATCTCATTTTGCTAATACAATAAGTAGTAAATATATATACAAAATGCCTTGGGCCGAGCCGCAGTGTAGAGTATTGTAGTTTAAACATGTCACAGATGGATCCTGGTGAACATTGTGCTAGTGATTCTGCTGTGATTACCATTCAGGTTTGGGGAGCTTTCTGAGTTTATTAAATAAATCTCTGAGAGAGGACAGAGTATGGATCAGTGAGAAAGTGACTAACAAAGCAGGAGATGCAGGCAGCAATAGTAGTAATTTTAGCTGAAACATTGATAAAGACTTGTATCAGCCCATGCAACTGTCTGGGCTTTCACTGACTGATTTTTTTAATTCCATTTTCTCCTGGAGAGCAAACAATTACAGCTTTCCCTTTCTTGATTTTGTGTACAGGGGAGTACAACTTCACGCTTGCTATTCAATTAGATCCACAGGCTTTACAAAGGAGGAAGCACCGTTAATTAGTATGAGATGCTTGCTCGATATCGTTATGAATTACAGCTGCAGCATATATTCAAGCTGTTTCAGTTAAAAGAGGAAAAAAGATACTGAGTTGTATTCTGCATCAATCTGTTTTCTGAGACAGTCAGCGTAAGGAAATAACTTTTCTTAAATGGTTTATAAAATGAAAGTATGTCTTTTTAAATAAAGGTGTTATCATAGCATCCTTAGCACCTTGATACTTTGTAGAGCAGGGATCTCTAGAACTAGGCAGCAAAGATTCATGCTGAAGACCATGGACAAGTTTGTTTTTCAAGGGAGACTGGATAACTAATGCTACTTTTTGACTTACAGCTATAGAGTAGTCTGAGTACTTACTCAGAGGAGGTGTTTTCATAAGCTGTTACAATCTTTCTTGCATCTTTTCTGACTTCCCTCTCCATCTCTATGGGCATGGTCTCTGTGAATGTGTCCATACTGGTAAATAATAGTGAACTGAAATGCTTTAATAGCCCACAGTACTGCATTTTATAAGCTTGATCCTGAGCTTTTTGTTTGATTGCTCAAGGAACTTCCTGTCTGATTAATCTGCTATAGGAAGGCACAGTCTTAAACCAGGAGGACAGAAGCCAGTTGATCACATTTCGTCTCAGCATCAAGGATTAGTCTCAAGCTCTCTTTTGTTCAGTGGCATAAACACGGGCCAAAGAAGTTTTTCTTCTTTCTCTAGGCTATAATAAAATATTGTACATGACTTACTGTCACAAATCTAGGGAAGTAATTGGCTTTGCTAGTGGGAATATGATGGAGGTAGTCAGTCATAACTAACATGTTGGTAATATTCAGAATAACAGGACATAGGCAAGAGTGTACCAGAAGTATTTGTAGGCAGTTAATACAAAAAGGAGTAGACTTATTCAACATATAAAAAGAATTGCCTCAAAGGAGATGTTAATGAAATGGGGAAAGGAAATTTAGGACAGTTTTTTTAAGTTACTAGCTCCAAAATGTCTTTGTGGAAGAATTTCTTTTGAGAAGATATATCCCGGTTTTACAGGCACAAATGAAAATTCAGCTGCATAGAAAATAGATTTTTTCAAAGCAGCAGGCTGCAGAGGAAAGCTTTGCTAGATGCACTATAAATAAGAAGTTACTCATTTTTAAAAGATTACAGTGGAGGGAGGGCAATAAATAGAAGGGAGGAGAAAATACTGGATTCGCTGTGGCTATGAGTAAGTGCTTATAGAGTATGTGTTTTCTTTTCTAGATCCCTTGCTAGTTTCCAGCCAATACTGGAAAACAAGGCTGCTGCAGTAGCTTGTGCAGTACAAGAGAGGCTGTATGGTCAGCATTGTTTAATGAGTTATTTTTATCTTGAGTATTAGCTTCCAAGTGCCACATTTTCTGTACTTGTTACTAATGGCAATATCTGGAAGGCCCACGTGAAATACAATCCCTCCCTGGGAGAGTCATTGTCCTTTTTAAGATACAGTGCTGGGCAAAATGAAAGAACGAGCAACTCTGTCAGAGTATATATCCCCAGGTACAGTGAAGGCATCAGGGATGGCTTTGTAATACACTGCTGGAGGTGTATGTTTGACATGTTACACTGCTGTGCTTTTTTAGTTACCAGCAAATAAAGAATATGTTCCCAGCTGATGGACTTTGCATGGGAAGGAACTTATGCTCTTTCCAGGGTCTCTCATCAGGGCCAAGTGGATGTTGTGAGGTTATTTTTTTGGCCCTGTTGTGAGGTTATTTTTTTTTCACTCTCTTGTGGATACAGGCTTGTTGTGTGACAAAGACCCAAGACTGTAGCTTTTCCTATGGCACAATAGTTACTTTCCTGGTTACTGGTAGCTTAATTCAGTCTGCAGTCTCCCAGTTGTAAAATATTCCACCCAGACAGTTTCCAATTTCACATATTTGTTGCATTTTGCTTTAAGATTTGCGAAATATCCTGCAGAAAGGACTTCTGGAAATGATAGAAATGTTTTCAGAAAAAAAAAACATTGAAGAGATCGTGCATTTACACAGCTTACGAAGTAGCAGGGAGCTAAGAAACATTGTGGCTGTGGTTACAAAGCCACTTTATAGCAGTCTTAAAGATAACTGTCTGAAGTGCTGAACTTTTCTAACCTGTGGAAATGCTACCTTGGTACTATATCTGTGATTGTGAAACTTCACTTATGTGGATAAGTCCCAGGTGTTTTTGGAAGGGTACTATTGAAAAATTTTTAATGTCTTGCTGGAAGAAAATGCATGTGCTGAAATCATCAGCTGTTCTAGCACTGATTTAGAATTTGCATTATAAATGCTGAGAACTAGTATAAATTAACTTACTATATGCACTACAGTTTCTGGTAGCATTGAGGAGAGGTTAGAATTATTTCATGGTGAGAAAAAGATGCTTCTTAAAGCTGTAAGAGGGGTTCTTAAGAAATCTTTTGGACAGGAGAGGGTTACTTTGCACTTTTAGGAAAACAGGCACTCTTACCAAGGTAGTAACAATTTTTTTTCTTTGCCTACAGGAAGGAGTTGAAGTGAGGGTTGCCAGAATATTCAATACCTTTGGTCCTCGAATGCATATGAATGATGGTAGAGTTGTCAGTAATTTTATCCTACAAGCTCTCCAGGGAGAACCACTAACAGTAAGTAATGACTTCTCAGTGACGTAAAGAACCATTCATCTTTATATCCTATCGTCACGTGCTATGAAAGAGGATAGGTTTTAGAAAACGCTGAGGTTTTCTCCCTTCTCTTCCCTCCCCCTCCAAAATCTAGTCTTCAAGTATGTCAAGCACGAATGATATATAGGATTATGTATACAAAGATGTGCTCTGTTGATGGTTTCAGTGTTCTTTTCCAAGAGAGAAACAAGGCTGCCAGTTGCAATCTGATAAAGTATTCTAGTCATCTAGAACTTCAGTTTCTGTCTGTCCCAACTCTTCTATGGGGACATGTCAGGACAAGGCTTAGAGAATCATCTTTTGGTACTTGCTCCTGTTGATGCACTTTCTCTGAACCCTTTTTGGAAGTTAGGCATATAAATGTATTTTTGTAAGGTTGGAGATCAGCCTAACTTTTCCATATATAACGTAATGTTAAAAGCTTTCAAGCTACATCACATATTAGTACATAAAGCCAGCCAAGACTGGTTTTTGTTACCATTGACCAACTGGTGTGACATGACCCACATCTCTACAGCTGAAACAAGTTGTCACATCCTAACTGTTTGCTGTGAATGGTCTTTGGCTCTTGGTAATGCTTAAACAATATCACAACGTTGTCTGGGAGAGCAAAAGCTAAGAGGGGCCAATAATACCAAAGATACTGCTAGTAATTTAGCAGTACAGATAATGCCTGACCTATGTCCTGGTCCTGTTTAGTTTACTGTTACAAAGTAATGAAAGTATGTAAAATAAATGTGGAGATATCCTGAAACAGCGAAAAGTAGCTTGGAATCTGATATTGGTTGTGGGCTTATGGAAACATTTATGGTTTATGTGACATAAAACAGAAGTTCCGTGTAAATATTTGTTAATTGGAAGAGTGAAGCGCCAGGACGTCACACAATGACTTCTGCTGAATACCTAAAAATGTTGCTAAGTACCTTCACAGGGCACCTGTCTTTAGACTGAGAGAGCATTTTCTCTGTTGGAAACTATAAAATCCAGAGTTCAGCCAGGAATTCCTCTAGGAAGGAACAGACAGTCCAAGGAGAGAAGGATAAAAGTTTTGTAGCAAATCTCACTACCATGATTCTTGTAGAATAAAATCTGAAACTGGACAGAGCACTGAAGTCATGCCCATGCACGGGGAAGGTGGTGTCCTGTGGTAGATCTCCCCTAACTTTGATCTTTTTCAAATAATATGCCAAAATATGACTACTTCCTGCAAAACTTGAGTAGCAGACACTACCCTACTGACAGGGTGAAATCTAGAACTCTTTATAAAATCAAAATTTAAAAAAGGCTCAAATTGTGCAAAGCAATGCACATCACCTGACTTGAGTATGCTGATAATTTTTGAAAGGTTGGTCTTGTCTAGAGGTCAGAATTGGCTTCCGTGCTTGCTGTTTATCAGTGATTGCTAACTTAAGTATTTAGTTATTGGTTTTAATGTCATCAGTGCTGCATTTTGCCTTCTCTGTTGTTTCTAACCATTGCTAAACTTCTGGTTTAGGCTTGTGATTATTTCAGAGTAACAGGCTTGTAGTAATTTGAATGCTATGTTCGCTGCATAGAATCATAGAATTGTCGGAGTTGGAAGGGACCTTAAAGATCATCTAGTTCCAACCCCCCTGCCATGGGCAGGGACATCCCCTACTAGATTAGGCTGCTCATAGCATCTCCTAAAGATTTTCTTTCTTCGTAATCGCTGTCAGTGCTCAGACTGTGTGATGCTGAGTGTGACTTAATGGCCAGTGTTTGCCAAAACGTATGACATGTAATGTCATGTGAGTCAGCACTGAATAGGCTAATTGCACAGTCACATGGATTCACTTAAAAAAAAAAAGTACTCAAATTCCTGCAGAAAGAGTAAAATTCCTACAGAAATACTTTTATTTTCTTACCAAGGCATCTCCCCAAAGCTGCAGATTGAGTCTGGTTCTGTTTGTTACAAGCCAGTAAGCAATTCTTTGACATTTTTGATCCTTGCAGGACTTTCTTGTTTCAAAGTATGGATTTAACCTGTTTTGTCAGTATTGTGCATTCCCAGGATGCCATTCTGAAACATAAAGTCCGAGCCTCTAAATGCTGTTTAGAAAGTTTATCTAGCCTACAGAGGGTCAGAAGGTAGTTGCATTTTTTCAGATTTGTACCCCAATGCATGTTATGAGCTATTGCCATATTTGGCTTCCAGGTGGTTTTTTGTTGTTTTCATTCATGCTTAGTTTCTCAAATTTTATTGAAAAATGCTAACTAGAAGTTTTCTGAAGCCTTAGTGAACATGAAACAGTTATCTTCTTTTAAAACATACATCCATGGGGTATTTCAGAGTATCAAAAAGAGAAGCCTGGAGTCAGTGCTGTTCTGTGGGAGGGAATATTGAAAGCTTTTTTTATCATTATTTTTGTAACTGTCATGCTGTCTGGTCTTTATCAGGAATATAACAGAAAATAAAATAGAACATCTTACTAAACATCACTGTTCTGCAGGGAGTAACTGTCTGACATTGAAAATTACTGAATATGAGAAGAGAGCTAATGGTAAAAATGTTTAGCTGACCAGGTCAAATAAAAATCAGTTATCAGCGATAAGCAGTAGTTGAGACCAAAAAAATTTTGGCTTTTGTATCATCACAGAATTTGGCCGACAGACATACCAAGTGTTGCCTTTTTAGAAATTGAATGTATTCAATCTCTTCTTTCGGAGTAAATGAAGTAAATATTAATTGAGTAAATAATGTCTTGAGAAATCAATCTCTTTAATTTGAATAAATTATAGCCTCTGCAAACATGACCATTGTTGCTTTGTATTGTTGTGAAGGAAGGGTTTATTAAGAAAAATTGGGAGGTATTGAGAGAAATTGGGAAGAGGGAACTACATTGTATTTTCCAGCCGTTGCCTGCATATATGAAAGGCAGCCACGCAGATGACTGCAGAAATGATGCACAAACAACTTAGTTCTGTAAAATTTATCCCACAAGCTAAAAGACAGGCAAGAAATTATATACAGACATAAAAACTGCTTTGTGTTTGCTTTGAGAATCCATCTACTCATCTGGTGCATTCCTCTCAGAATCAGTTATTGGGTAAACTCTTCTACTCCTAGTTGTACCCAATACCTACTGAAATGTGAACTCTTTTGGTGCTGAATCAGCCTCAGAGAGCAACACGCTTACCAAGTGACTGATAATGGCACGTGTACGAATTGCATTGTCTTCCTTGTCCCCTAGGAAAGCAAACATGCTTTCTTTTCTGCCCTTCGCAAGAGATTTTCTAATATAGCAGGCTGATGGTAAGATGCGTATGGCCCCAGTTAAACTTCAGATTTTTCACCACTTCGATATGCCTACTGATAGCTTTCAGAATTTAAACGTTCCTCTTCTAGGGATTTTAGTACTGCATGCAATTAAACTGTGAAAAAAACCTGTTACCTGATACCATTATGTACACTTTGAGTATACTTTAATGTCTGTATGAACTTAATCAACTTGCTTGCTCCAAAGTGCCAGCACTTATTTTTTTCTCTCTGAGATTTTATTGCAAATCTGTGCAAGTGATTTCAGCAGTCATATCCACTAGAAATTATTCTACTTCCTCTTTCCTCAGATAATAGTATTTAGAGCCATGTGATCTTTTTCTTTTTGTCCTGATTGCTTTAAATGCTTACAGTGCTATTTTTCTTGACAGTTTTCTTAGAGACCACTGACATTTGGTAGTCTCTCTGAAGTTGGCTGTTGTTCATGAGCAAATAAAAATTGCTCATCATAACCACATCATAGTAGTCTGAGGTTTGCTTTAAATACTTGGTGCTCTTTTCTGGCTGACTGCGTGCTGCAGCCTCTTTCAGTGTTCCAGGAGAGGACAAAGCGTCACTCTGTCCTACATCCCTGAGAACATTTCCTACATGCAGAGTCCAGGTTGACAAAATGCTTAAGATTATGTTTACTGGGGACACATCCAAGAGGAAGAAGACCTTCAAAGAACTGACACTTTTCCAAAGGTGGTGCAAGCACATCTTTTTCCATTCCTGTAACATTTATCTTGTGTCTCAGGTGTTTGTTCTGGGGACATTTTTCTAGAATGATGAGGAAAAGGTAATAGGGCTAGAGAAGACCTTTATATTTATGAAACTTTTATAATTTTCTTCCTTATTTAGGTCTACGGACCTGGAACTCAGACGAGGGCTTTCCAGTATGTCAGGTAAGCTGTGTTTGTGCTGTTTATTTAATATTTACTTCACTTGATGATTCTTTGAGCTTGGCTGCCTTTGTATGCATGTGTGCATCTTAGAAAAAAAAATCATGTTCATTCTTAAGCCAGCTTTACTTGGAGAAGAGAGACACTGAAGTTTTCAGAGTGTTAAGAAAGAAAATGTTAGTTGGTTTGGAACTCTGAATTGAGGTATTAATGTGTTCTTCCCTTCAAGGGACAGCAAGCAATGGCTGGATAAGTTTTTTATGCCGAGCACTTTGGTAACTCCTTGCATTTTAATGCAATACTGCCACCGTGTGTCTTTGGGGCTGCTGTGGGCACTGTACAGGCACTGTACATGCATGGCTTCCCTTCTGAGAAAAGGAACAGGTTGAGGGGGCATTGCTGTAGCAAATATTTGCAGTGCAAGCAATGCCAGAATGTGTTTTCAGTACGAAAAAGTAAATCTTTTCCTCGGAGTCTTTTATTCTGTCATGCTAGCTAAGCTTCCATGCCAAGCTTCTCAGCTGTTTTGATTTTCCACTTGGAAATGTTCTTTCCTTCTGCTGAAAGTAACAACAGCAATGATAGTTGCTACAGAAACCTCATCAGTTCAAAGTAACCCCTCCTTTGCTCAATGTTAAGTCGTAATGAAAGGGATCTGGATTTGTATGTCCAGGGCCAAACTGCTAAGTTTTTTTGCTGATAATTCAAAATAACTTTGGTTTATCTTGCTGGGAAGAGTTAACACCAAAATACTGTTCTTTAACAAACTTGAAAGCAAGAAGACAATTAAAACAAGAAGCTGCAAAACAGGCGGTGGTGTTATGTGCCTCTGTATTAAAACTTACTCTCTGTTCTTTTTGAATTATGTTGAAAATGGGCCCATAAATATGCTTGAGTACTGGAGGGAAGAGGAATTGATTGTTTGATTATATTTTTTACATTCTTTCATATGCTTAGGTGATCTATAGCGAGTGTATCCCGTAGATAGTCACCCTTTCAAACTAGCCTTCAGTTCAGTATATCTTAAAATAGGGACTGTGAATAGGGAACAAAAAGCTGAGAAAACATGTACCCATTGAAGTATATGCTCTAAATCTGATTTCAGCGTTCCTCACCTTCCTGCTGTGCTTTACTGGAGCTCTCAGGAGGCAGCTCTCTTTTTAGACAGGAATGACAGGGAAGTGGAAATTGCCTCAATCTGTTCTTCCCTTTTTATAGTGATCTTGTGAATGGGTTGGTGGCACTGATGAACAGCAATGTCAGCAGTCCTGTTAACTTGGTAAGTATGAGAGCTCCACTCCACTGTGTTTGCTGTACAGTGACCAACGTCACCTCTGTGTTCCTCCTCAGTTCTGATGCTGATTCATACAAGAAATAAATGCAGAAAAAAAGCTCTTTGCATTATGAATAAAATATTCTTCCATGTATTTGTTCTATAAACAAAAAGATTAAGCCCCTGGGTTTGAGATCTTGTAGTTCCAAGAACAGAATAAATTTTCTAGAGTTTTTCATTTGCTCTAGGAAAAAAAAAGTAATTAGAATATTTAAAAAAGCCAAGCAAAGTATGAGAGGGGGAATCACACAAATCACACCAAGGAAATGGCACAAGTCTGGTTTTAATGAAAAGCACTGAAGGAATGCTTAGCTCTAAATAATTAGAAATTGCTTCATACTAGGCTTGATTAGAGGAAAATAAGATAGTAGTTGATGGTGTCATTTTCTAATATTTATAAGGCTGCTAAGAACTTAGCTTTTCTAATCAGATTTTTGTTCTGTCCCATTTGTAGTCACCTTATTCTCAGCAGTGGTTATAAGAATAGAAAAAGGATGCATATGCCAGATCATTTCTGTGTATGCTAAAATTTGCTAAATCAGATATTCAACTCTGCAGGGCAGTTTTCTCTAGATTTTCCTTTTATACTGTGACCATGAATTCATTGTTATGTTTCTATCCAAATGCTGGTATTTTTAAACCCCTTCACATGTTTTGCCTCCAGAAAACTTAAGTGTTTAAATCTATACATCCCTAAACGCTTAGCTTGAAATTAAACAAGATGTAGTAAAGAGTTTTGCAGCAAGGAAAGCTAGAGATAGAAGAAATTGAGTCTGATGAAAGTGAGCTAATGCTAACAGGAAGATTTTAGTGTTTTGTTCCAAAATGTTTATCAGGAGTTCACGTGCAAGTCAGTTTAAAAAAAAGAGAGTTAGGAATAGAAATACTGTATAGGGAAGCAAGTAGCCCTTACACATTGATATCCAAGCTGTTATAAATGCAGGAGAAATTGTTTGCAGCTAAATTAATTTAGTTTCCTAACTTTGGATAAACTGGGAATTTAGCATACTTTTTCATTACGTCATCTGTCCTCAACTCAACAAAGTCCTTGAATCTAAATTTCAAAGTGCTGCTGTGGTTGTGTAGGCTGCTGAGTGACATCTACCTTCACTTTGAGCAAGGTGCATTTGCCCATTCTTTATAGACTGATTTTTTTGAGCACCATCCTACATACATTGAATTATAAAGTGTAACGGGGGACAGTTTTTCTAATGAGTATGGAGCTTGTCAAAGTTACTTCTTTTTTTTTTAATTTTTAAATCAAAGTAAGAGTAATGCTTAATATTTAGTTTCTTCAGAGTTTACAATGACCCTGTTAGAATCATCTCATGTCAGAAAACTAGCATATTGTAAGGTGTTTAGTTGATATTTTAATGAATGTTCCTTTCTATTTCTAGGGAAATCCAGAAGAACACAGTATTCTAGAATTTGCCCAGTTAATTAAAAAACTTGTTGGTGAGTATGATAAGTAATTCTTAGTCAAGCTTCTTGAAGTTCTTATTGGTGTTAAATGATTATTACTTGATTAGTGTGTGTATTATATGGATAACTGGTCTTTGAATTTCCTAATAACTTTACTAAAGGCATTCAATTGTATCCTGATCATATCGTCATTATCATCGTGGCTGGGCTTCGCGAATGAAGATATGGGGAGGGCTCTACCCACACTTGCTACAAGCGTGCTAATGGCTAAAAAGGCCGATGCAGGATAGGCAAATCCGATTGCAAAAGGCACAGCGGAAAGTCTCCTTAGGCGGTATTGGCAAGGCATGGTTCTTTCTATGTTGGCTTTTCTCCTCAAGACTAATTCTACATGTGTTCTCAAAGGAGGCAGCAACGTTATCACAGAATCACAGAATGTCAGGGGTT